ATCTTTTTGTATGCCTACTGGCTATCCGGATTTCTTCTTTGGAGAAATGTCTGTTCATGTCTCCTGCCAATTTTTTAATTGGATTATTTGTGTTTTGGGTGTTGAGATGTATCAGTTCTTTGTATATCTTGGATACTAACCCTTTGTTGGATTTATCATTTGCAAATATCTTCTCCCATTCAGTAGGTTGCCTTTTAGTTTTGTTGATTCTTTCCTTCACTGTGCAGAAGTTTTCATTATGATGTAGTCCTAATAGTTTATTTTTGCTTTTATTTCCCTTGCTCCAGGAGACATATCTAGAAAGACATTATTATGGCCAATGTCAGAGAAATGATTGCCTGTGCTCTCTTCTAGGATTTTTATGATCTCAGGTCTCATGTTTATGTCTTTAATCCATTTTGAGTTTATTTTTGTGTATGGTATAAGAAAGTAGTCCAATCTCATTTTTTTACATATACTTGTCCAGTTCTCCCAACATCATTTGTTGAAGAGACTGTCTTTTTCCCATTGCATATTCTTGCCTTCTTTATCATAGATTAATTGACCATATAAGTGGGGGTTTATTTCTGGGTTCTCAAATCTGTTCCATTGATCTATGTGTCCATTTTTGTGCCAGTACTATGCTGTTTTGATTACTACAGCTTTGTAGTCTATCTTGAAATCTGGGATTGTGATACCTCCAGTTTTGTTCTTCTTTTTCAAGATTGCTTTGGCTATTCTGGGTCTTTTGTGGTTCCATACAAATTTTAGAATTTTTTGTTCTAGTTTTGTGAAAAATGCTGTTGATATTTTGGTAATGATTGAATTAAATCTGTAAATTTCTTTGGGTAGTATGGACATTTTAATAACATTTGTTTTACCAGTCCATGAGCGTGGAATATCTTTCTATTTGTTTGGGTCATCTTCAATTTCTCCATCAATGTTTTATAGTTTTCAGAGTACAGGTCTTTCATTTCCCTGGTTAAGTTTATTCCCAGGTCTTGTATTATTTTTGGTGCAATTATAAATGGGATTGTTTTCTTAATTTCTCTTTCTGCTACCTCATTATTAGTATATAGAAATGCAACAAATTTCTGAATATTGATTTTGTATCCTGAATTCAATGTAACTGTTCTATCTGGTAGTTTTTTGATGGAGTCTTTAGGGTTTTCTATCTGTAGTATCATGTCATCTGCAAAGAGTGAAAGTTTTAGTTCTTTACCAGTTTGAATGCCTTTTATTTAATTTCTTATCTGATTGCTGTGGCTAGGACTTCCAGTACTATGTTGAATAAAAGTAGTGAGAGTGTACATCCTTTTCTTGTTCTTATCTTAGAGGGAAAGCTCTCAATTTTTCCCCATTGAGTATGATTTTAGCTGTGGGTTTTGCAGAGATTTTAAATCACATGTCCTGGATTGCACCAACATACCTGTTGATTCAGAATTTGTATGTTTTTAACAGGGTAAATGATCTTTCTACCACACAAACCTGACCATGTCCTGTCCTGCTGCTTAAAAATTCCAAGGCTTCTTGCTATTCCATGAGAAAATGCAAACTCACTACCTGGTTTACAAGGCTTTTCATGAGTTGCCCATTATTTATCACTCCAGCCTCATGTTTTCCAGCCCATGCATCTACATCTGTCTGGCTTTTGCCTACAGTTTTTCCTTCGCCAAGAATACTCTTACCCTAGTTCCCCTCTTTCTCTGGCTCAAGTACTCATTGTGAGATTTTTGGGTCACTTCCTCTGTGAAACCTTTTCCTTAGCTTATATTCAAGTCAACTATATTTTTAGATGGAGTTCTTAGCCCCCTGTATCTCCTCCATCCTAAGACTTATCATGTCAATGCCTTTCAATTATTTGTTCATATCCTTCCAGGTTTAATCTCTGATGATGCAGTTATATCTCCAATACTGAACACAATGCATTGCCCAAAGTGAATGTGCACAAATATTTATTGAATGAATGATTAGATTTAACTCTTTTTTTTTTTTGAACTATGCCACCTGTTTGTGGCTCTACCTGTTCTGTGTCTTATTCTGCCCCCCAGCCCGCTCCACCCCACCCCCGCCAGTTCCCTACTCTCCTAGCAAAGCCCAGATACCCTCTATTGACTTTTTAAGATTAATCACACACTCACCTGTTGGCCCTGGGGCTTTGCAGAATAGCTCTTTGCTGCCCCCATATGTTTTTAATCAGTTCCTTATGTAGCCAGTTGAGACAACCCCTTGTTCCATCTGGTGCAGTTACAGTTCTGCAGGGACATCTTTGTTCTTGGCTTCCATATGTCCCCCTTGGCACAAAGAGGAACTTGTAGGATGGAAGAGAAGAATGTGACCCCTTCTGTGTCTGTTTTTATACCCTAATCTCATATTTATTCTCCTTCATCATCAGGACTAAATAAATTGAACAATTTTATTTAGTCCCTTCCTCCTCTGACCCCTTTCTCTCCTTTTTCTAGAGTCCTCTTCAAAGTATTCTTCCCTCTGGGTCCTTTTACATGTATATAAATACATTGGTCTATTTAGCACCGCTGCAGCACGCTAAGAATTTAACTACCTGCTTCTGATGAAACTTCTGTGTGAAAACAGTAATGTTTAAGGACAGGAACCTTCTTACATTTTGTATTTCATTCTTTTATATAAAAATTAAGAAATTTCGGGGCGCCTGGATGCCGCAGTGGGTTAAGATGCTTGGTTTTGGCTCAGGTCGTGATCTCAGAGTCCTGAGATGGAACCCACGGCGGGCTCTGTGTTCAGCATGGAGTCTGCTCAAGTTTCTCCCTCCTTCTCCCTCTGCCCCTCCCCCTGCACATACACTCTCTCTCTTCAATAAATAAATAAATCTTTAAAAAAAATTAAGAAGTTTCTTAAAATGGGGATGTAAAGTGGTTTATCCCCAAAATGTAGGACCTTATTTACATACATTAAATCATTTATTGTGATTACAGTCATTTCATTAACCCATGGATTAAACAGACACCATAATAATAATGATTGATTTACTATATTAAAATACTTTAAATAGTAGTGATTCATAGGCAACAGTTGTATTCCTTCCAGGATTATTGTTATAGCAATTAAAAAGCTTTTAGTAAGCTCATGATGAATAGTGTGATTCTAAATATATAATGCCCAGTGTTATACCACCATAGCCTCTTTTTCTTTGGTAATTAGTGTCTACAGTAATTAAACTAAGAATGAAATGTGTGGTATATGTAGCATATCACAGTTAATACAACTCAAGCATAAGCACATTTTTAGGGAGAGAAGAAAATGTGTTTCATATCAGTTGGAACAAAAGAAACTATTATCTTCAAGGGAATTAAGAAGATTTGGTCAAGAAGATAGATACCAACAATATTTACATGTTTTAAAACCACATAGCTTAAACTTTTTGAACTGAAGTAGCTACCTATTTACATTTCTAAAAGCTCCTTATTTATATTATTTGCCTGAAAACCAATAACCAATGACAGACCTTAGGCTCCTTCAGTACAGGGCCACCATTTACAGAATGGAGTTATACCTTGCACAAGGGTGCCTGGGAGAGGGGATAGATAGGGGCTGAAATATAGCCCTTTCTTTTCTTGCTAGGTAAGCTGCACTCTGACTCAGGCTGTATCTCCCAGAGGAAGTAGACACCTTTATCTAAACTGCGCAAAGATACTGTATAGGATAGCCTGGTACTGCATCTATGCCTAAGTTCTTTCATTCTATGTGGAAACACATTGCTTTTCCATTAAATTATTTTCTGACTTTAACTTTCTTGCTAATTCCAAACTACTAGTTACTTCAAAATTAATATTTTCCAATTTTTGTCTTGAAATGAGCACATATAAATGTGGCAGAGACAACATGGGGAAAATCTGCAAATTCCAGTCTATTGACGTTTCCATAATAGTCTTTAGCCATCTGGAATTAGATTAATTTTGAGACTATGAAAAAGCAATAAAAGTGAGAAACCTCAAGAAAGAGAAACTTTATAATGCTCCTGTCTTAAGACTAACTAGTTAACTCCTTTGTTTAGAATACCATGATAATGAGCCAGGTTTATCATTTCAAACCCATAGTTAGCGTAACAAAGGGGAAAACTTTATTCTATTGCCATAGACTGCAACTCTTGCCCACCAGTTTGTTCTTTGGTATAAGTTGGCATGAGGTCCGGATACTTCATACCCATCACCATTACTGGAAAAAACAAGTATATGACCAGATGGGGGTACATTTACCAAATGTCAGCTCCACCATAACTAGAAAATTCATCACTACTAACCAGTAGAAAATGCATCCAGATGTATTTGCATTATGTGATGAGATCCATAGTCAATATGATATAAAACCTATAATCATGTGGTTTTCTCAAGAACTCAACAAAGTCCTAAAGTTTTGCTGAGAAACCAAAAGAACAACACTGACCCCACCAATCTGGCTCATGTGATTGGTAGTCTGGATGTTACAGGAGTTAAATTTCACCTTTGGTGTGAATGTCTTAGATCGAAAAGCCCAGTGCAGCACCATATGAGTTCCCAACCATGTGTTTCTGTATAAAATGAATCGCTTGATGGGAAACAGGAGCTCACTAATAAAGGCTGTTTTTGTTAATTACACATAGAGTTATAACTAGAATGGGGAAACCAGATTTGAATACTTCTTTGTGAGCATAAATAGAAAACTAGAAAACTTTAAATTGTCCTTGACCTCATTTACAGTGAAATGGGGAAGTATCCCAGGTCCTCCTGATTCAAAAGCACTCAGAATCTTTTCTACTTAGATAAAGCAATTTTTATGTAGTTAATATTAGCACAAATCCGTTTTCTGCTTGCCTGCTTCCTAGCAACCTGAAGCAGAGTATCTGCTTGCCAATCTGCTTCTGATAAAAAATAAGAACAAAATACCCAGTGAATTTGCCAATAGTCCCGAAGAGATGGGGATGTGTTCAATAAGCTTTGTGTTGATTTTGTGAGTCTGGCATGTGATTTATGTTGTCAACCGTCTGACCTTGCCGCACTCTACCACAGGCCAGGGAAGATGTGATCCACATGCTGAAGACAGAGAAAACCAAGCCTGAGGTTCTGGAGGCTCATTATGGGTCTGCAGAACCAGAGAAAGTGCTGCGAGTCCTGCACCGAGACGCCATCCTAGCCCAGGAGAAGTCTATAGGAGAAGATGTCTATGAGAAACCGATTTCAGAGGTAAAAATATGACATCAACAAGTTCCCGTATATAAGGGTACCTCAGAGTGATGGCTTCACATTTTCCATTTTACATGCTTTAACATTTTCTTTCAAAGGCAAAATTTTTATGATACACTAGTATAGAATTAAAGTGTAATTAAATAAATTATATGAATTTACAATGTAATATGAATCACATGAATTATAGTGGATGCATTGCAATGATAAGAATTTTAGAAGCATTTCCTTAAATATATTTAAAGCCTGAAATATATTTCTCATGTGATTACGCTAACTACATGCTCTTGCAGTCTTATTCTTTTATTTCTCTAGGAGATGATGTGTGTAAAAATTTGAAGTGCTCATCAGTTTTGGCACTGAGTTGTCAGGATCATTATTAAATTGGTAACCTAAAATTAAATTGATTATTGATATTGTATTGATGGACATTTATTTTATTATTGTAATTTACAAAGGGACTGTGTTTTAGTATCTCACAGACTCTGTCATAGTTAAAATGGTCTCACGTGAGTAGCTAAAATGCAATGGTTGAGGCAAAATCCCAATGAAATGCTTAGGACAATTCTTTAAGATGAAATCTAATAGGGCTATATTTAATCATTTTTATATAAGATTGTGTTAGGAACTATTTACTATTGTTATTAATTTCCCATGATACTACATGTTAAAAGTATTCTCATGTTGTAGTAGAAATTTGAGGCTAAATTAGGCAAATAGTTGCTAGATCTAACCATACTGACTTCAGAATTCATGTAAAAAAAAATGCAGAGATATGCAATTAGCATCATAAATGAAGAAAAAGAACACAGAAATTAAAAGTGAAGCAATTTATTATAACATAAAAGATAATAATATAATATAAAAGATAATATATTATGTCAAGCCTTTGTAGAAGCTCAGTTTGACAGATCTCAGATAAGATCCGCTTGAGACAGTATTCACAGCAGACTGATGGTCCCGTAATTACCCTAATTTCTGCAGCAAGGATAAGCCGGAGCTCTTGTTTTAATCTTTGCCTAAAATGTTAAGAGATGATTTATGATGGGATGCAGTCAACTGACTGGATCCACTTCCATGTCTGAGAGCCACGGTTACCAGCTGCATATGGCTTTGGGTGGGTCACTTCAGCTCTCTAAGCTTATTTCCTTCTCTGTCAGGTGGGAGTAACAACAGTGTGTATCTCCTAAGAGTTGTTGTAAAGATTAAATGAAGCAATGTCTGTAAAGCTCTTAACACAGGGTCTGGTACATACTGAGTACTCAACAAATACTATCCATTAGCATTTGCTGGGATTTGAGCATGATATTGTGATATTCTCTCACACCTATAATTAGTTCCAAACTTGGAGGGGTTTGAGGAGTGAAAGACATAATGAAGTCAAAATATTCATTAAATATTCTTATGATAACCCCCTGGATTGGAGAACTCAGTTTGGATATCATTTAGATTTCCTAATTCTTTTCTCCCAAGTTAGAGCTTGGGATAACACCTCAAAGGAGAGGTAGGTCTGAAAGCACACACACTTACCAAAAGCACTGCCTCTACCCAGTGAATTCTATGGAAAGTACCCAAAGAAGGAGTTTCTGACCTACCTTCAGAAAGTAGGCCTAACCCAAGGGTTCCTATCTCGTGGGCAGAGGAGCAGAGCAGAAAACACCCACCCTGTGGGTGATCCTTTTAGAACTGGCTCAGCTGGACAAGCTTTTTGGTTTCTTTCTCGCCTCAACTCACAATCTGAAGAGTTATTCCTCACTTGGGGAGGAATGAGTGAGGAGGTAGACAGAAAGACAGAGGCTACTTTTCCCAATACTGACAAAATGGTAAGGTCCTGCTTTGTGGGAAAAATAGAATGCTAGAAGGAGAAAAGATTTATCTTCTACCATCTACAAATTTGGGGTCTCCTAATCTTTTGGATTTAACAATCAAGTTGTTGTTACCCAGGAGCAGGAGTCCTTCTTCCAACTTCACAAGGGCCGATCCTAATACAATCACTGTTCCATTAGCCTCCTGGGACCATGAGCAGATAGTCTAGCTCTTATTCTTAGAAGCCATGCTGCATCTTAAGCCCCAAAATCACTGCTCATTTTAATTTCTGTACCAAATTAGGCCCAGCTAGTTTATCCAATAGAACTCACCAGAGGTTAAGCAATGAACCCCATGTGGTAGACCCCCTCTGCCTTGCCAAATATCTGGGGAGAAATTAAGCAGCAAATATTAAATCCCCCTGAGCTTCTTTGTGAATTAAAATCCAGGATATGAAAGTTCATAATTCTTAAGTAAAATTCCAAAGAAATCAAGGTTTCAGTGTCTTTCCTTCCCAAATTCTTATTCTGCTTAGCTTTAGCCAGAGGGATCTTAATCTTAAGCTTTTTCAAAGTTTAACTAATATATCCTAAAGTCTCCCTATTCCCCTTTTATTGAAGAGTCTAAAGAATTATTAGAACACATGAAAGTATCATAATACCAACCTTACATGCATAAGTATTAAAAATACAAGAAAATCCTCAGTTCCATAGTCAGTTTATCTCAAGCAAAATGACTCAGCATAATGCAGGCCCATGTTACTCTTAACAAGACCAAAGTAGAGACTTAGGCGATGTCTAGGGGAGGGAAGGCATGTAGAGAAAATCCTTTAACTACAACAGGATTCCAGTCAGTCTGGGGCAGTTACCTTCTGTGTTCTGTATTATATGGTCTCCCTCAGTGATAGAAGTAAAATCAAGGAGTTATGAGCCTGCCAACAGGATCCTTTGTTTAAAACAAATCTTATCTACGTTTATGTCCTTGGGTTGGATAATCCTCACTGACAGACGAGTCTTTTCTCATCTCAGTATATCCATGTTTGAACTGTTTATGTTACTGTCCTGCCTGAATCCCCTGATGTTCGACTCATCTTTACTTCAAACTCTACATCTCCAAGATTCTCAAACGTGTTCACTCAGGGCCCATCTATTTTAGCTGACACACTGAAACTCACCAAATAATGCTTCAAATGTTCTACCTTAATCTTCTCAGAATGTAATTCTTAAATCTGTCTATATTTTATGTATCCACTTCTAATAGCTGTTGCAGTCTTCAAGAGAATGGCTCCCAACTGATCTCATGGAGAACTATCAGCAGTTTTACAGCACATTCCTCAGACATTTTCTGGATTCCAACACTTTTTGTGGGGGGACTCACATTGCTCTGTTCTCTGTGCTCACCCATCTCTACGTCCTCTGGTCACACATTTTGATTCAAATAATGACTAAAATATCTCCCTTCTTTATAGCCCTATCTTTCAGAGCACTTAGATCCATTTCTCTCTTGTGTAATCCAGTTTGGTCTTTAAGACTTTTTGTTTCCTCTTTAGTAGACTTAGATTTAGATTTAGATTCAGTAGATCTGTCTCTTCCCAAATCCCTTAATACTTCTCCAGTTAGCCTTCTGCTGATAACAGCTAAAAGCACTTCCTCAACCATGATTCTTTTGTCTAAAACATGCTGAAATTTCTCTCCATCTCAAGTCCTTAAACCTCTTCTCCATCAACTTGATTTAGTAGAATAAGACTTCCAGGTATACTCTCCTTTTGGCCTTTGGTGTTATGATGATCTCATTTCATTTTCCTTCCACCTCTGTCCAAGTGGGAGCTGTATTTCTAAAGTAACAGGTTGCCATTTCACTTTCACTATTCATTAATAAAAGCAACTATTCCTCTAAGTTGAGCCACAGTTTGGATACTGAAAATCAAGTCATGGACATAGTGACATGATTAATGAATCAACAGAGCCCATAGTTATGGGAGGTGGTCTTCAGAGCCTCTAGACAAGTCACATAGATCCAAGAGAGAGCTTAGCCCACCTAAGTTCTCTCCTGGGAGCTCTATGTAGTTCCAAACAAAATAATAAGAAACAGGGTCTCGTACAGCTGATCTCTTGCTACCTAGGTTGGTTCTTACATCTAGAATTTGAAATTGAAAGGTAGATCCTCACACATGAATGCTTTATTGCTAAAAAGGAATTTGCTACCTCTGCAGTTTAAAGGCTGGGCCTGCAGTTCTGTGTGAAAACCAGTGTGAACACCAGTGTCTTGGCACCCTTTCAGTGCATTACAAGACAAAGAGATGTCTTCCTGATTATATAATCAGTGTTGAGGTCAAACTATGCTAGTGTAGGTGAGGGGAACATGGCCCGCTGAGACACCAGCAACTGCTCCAGTGGGCTAGCCCCAGGACTGTAGCTGCTGAGAACAACCAATCTCAAAGGCCCATGTGGACAGGACATACTAAAGCTAAGGTCTACCTTCTACCTAGGCTGACTCAGAACACTTCATATCAACATAAGCTGTTTTTCTCCACATGCCCTCACAATGTCTATTTTTCTGAATATCTTAGCTATTCAGTTAATAATGCCCCCATCTTCCCCTCCAGAGTTCCTTGAAGGGATTGAGAGTAACTGCAGGAGTTGGATAGATGAGTTAAAGCATTTAGTTTTATTATTGGTCTGAATAGACAAATGAATACCACCAGACTTTCTATTGCTTTCCCTCCTAGACTTTGGAGAAACCACCTGAAGGAGAGTTTGGGCCTTCAGAGCACAGTGTACCATTTTATGGCAGGCAGAGTAAAAAAATAAGAAATGAAAAGGCTGAGCTGCTTGTGCCTAGTTCCCTAGCCCAAATATAACTTTCTTTTTCCTTTTTTCAATTTTTTTATTATGTTATATTAATCACTAGTTTTTGATGTAGTGTTCCATGATTCACTGTTTGCGCATAACACCCAGTGCTCCATGCAGAACGTGCCCTCCTTAATACCCACCACCAGGTTAACACATTCCCCCACCCCCTCCCCTCTAGAACCTTCAGTTTGTTTTTCAGAGTCCATAGTCTCTCATGGTTCGTCTCCCCCTCCAATTTCCCCCCCTTCATTCTTCCCCTCCTGCTATCTTCTTTTTTTTTTTAACATATAATGTATTATTTGTTTCTTTTTCCTTTCCCTTATGTTCATCTGTTTTGCTTCTTAAATTCCACATATGAGTGAAATCGTATGGTATTTGTCTTTCTCTGACTTATTTCGCTTAACATTATACTCTCTAGTTCCATCCATGTTGTTGCAAATGGCAAGATTTCATTCTTTTTGATGGCTGAGTAATAGTCCATTGTGTGTGTGTGTGTGTGTGTGTGTGTATCACATCTTCTTTATCCATTCATTAGCTGATGGACACTTGGGCTCTTTCCATAGTTTGGCTATTGTTGATAATGCTGCTATAAACCATAGGGGTGCATGTGCCCCTTTGAATCAGTATTTTTTGTGTCCTTTGGGTAAATACCTTGTAGTGTAATTGCTGGGTTACAACTTTCAAATAAGTCACCCCTCCTTCCCTAAGGGAGGGTATGAAGAAATAGGCAGAAGCTGCTTTCCAAATACTTTCAAAAGAAATGTGGGTCCTACTTCATGATAAAGTAGAGAGGATCAAAAGAGGGAAAGAGTTGCTCTTTCTACATTGATAAAAATGCTTGACAAATTCTATAATATATGATGAAAATCACATAGTAAAAAGATGGAAGAGTTCCTGGGGAGAATAGTTTGTAATAGGGATATTCCAGTGAAGGAAATGTCTTGTAGAAGCTGTCCTTTTAAGACTACAGATATTTATCAGAACACATAAAAGTATAATTTGCCAATCCCTAATGGTATCAAATATTATTTACCACCAGTTAACCTGGGCTTCTCTACCAGTCTGTCTAGTCACAGACTCTTACACAAAGCGATGCAGATCTGGTCAGAAACACTAAGGATTATGCAGGCAGTATCTCTTTTATTTGGAGGCCCAGAAATGATCCCCACAATGGAGATCTCACACAACTGTAGAGGTAACCTCAGATCCTCCATATGACTGAGGGACAAACATGGAGAACCCAGTGGAAGAACTCTGATGCTGATGCCGCATGGAATTACCCCCATTAAGTTTTAGGGGGTAGGTTGTAGATTGAGAATGGATTTTAAATATGTTTCAACTAAAGCCGTGGTTCTCAATTTGGGGTGGGTGGTGGTGGAAGTGTTTTGCCCTTCGAGGGACATTTGGCAACATCTGAGGATAGGTTTGTCACAGTCGGAAGTAGTACTACTGGCACCTAGGGGGCAGAGACCAAGGATGCTGCCACATATCCTTTGCACATACTGCCACACATCCAGTGCATGTCCAGGATGCTGCCACACACCCAGTGCACGTCCAGGATGCTGCCACACATCCAGTGCACGTCCAGGATGCTGCCACACACCCAGTGCATGTCCAGGATGCTGCCACACATCCTCCAGTGCACAAAACAGCTGCCCAAAATAAAGAATGATTTGGCCGAAAATGTCAGTAGTACGGAAGTTGAGGAACCCTGTATTAGAGTTTGAAGAGGAGAGTAGGATAGGGAACTATTAATATTGCAAGATTTGGTCCAATTGAACAAACATTTACTGAACACTTACTTTGTCCCAGGCACTGTGTTAGGCAGTAGGAACTAAAAACTTCATCAAGGCTCCCTTTAAAGGTCTTCTAGCCTGGCAGAGAAATAGGCACAAAAAGCCCTGTAATTGGGGCACCTGGGTGGCTCAGTCTGTTAAACATCCTACTCTTGATTTTGGCTCAGGTCATGCTCTCAGGGTCGTGGGACCCAGCCCTGCAACAGTCTTCACACTCAACAGCGAGTCTGCATGAGATTCTCTCCTTCTTCCTCTGCCCCTCCCCCCACCCACGCGCTTACTTTCTCTCGCTCTCCCTCTCTCAAATAAATTCTTTTTTAAAAAAGTCCTGTAATAATATTTGACAGCGTCTCTTTTAGTCTGAGACATGTGCTCTCTATAAGTCCTGAAATCCTCCCTATATTTGGCATATTTTGAAGAGAGAGGACTGTGGATCCCTCCCATACTTTTCCTAGAAGTGCATGTAATGGCAAGTCTTAAAAAAGATTGTGATGATGATAATGACTTCCCAGGGGAGAAGTTTGGTACAGGTACCATGCTGAGCTCTTAATTTTTCTGAGACTGGGAGAACCGTTATCTTCTTTCTTGCTAAGTATAGGGTTTTGTGCCATCTCACGGAAATAGCGAAAGAGTTTGTTCTCTCAAAAGTTGAGGAACCATACATCTGCTCGCAGCAAAAGGGCCAGGAGGCCAGAAGTTACTGCAGCCTTGTTATGGCTAGTTTGGAGAGCCAGTTGGCCTAGACAAAATGATGGAATGGGGAAAATGGCAGAGGACACCAGACTCAACGTTCTCTCCTTCAGATAATAAATCACTAGATCAATACAATATTTTGAGTCCTATGCAAATCAAATGAAATAGTAAGCTCTTTCCCATGTTGGTTTACGCAGCTGGACAGACTTGAGGAAAAACAGAAGGAGACGTACCGGCGCATGCTAGAGCAGTTGCTGCTGGCAGAGAAGTGTCACCGGCGCACAGTGTACGAGTTAGAGAGCGAGAAGCACAAACACACTGACTACATGAACAAGAGCGACGACTTCACCAACCTGCTGGAGCAGGAGCGGGAGAGGTAATGTGCATGCGTGCCCCCAGTCACAGGAGAGCCCTGCCGTCCTTTAGTTTCTGTCCCTCTGGTCCAGGAGCCGACTTCAGCCCGGTGACACCACAGACGGGAACCCAGGTTCTGACTCCGAGTTCCGAGTGGTTTGTGACCTGAATGGCTTGTAGAAAGTGAGACAGACTTTTACCTGCAATCATCCATGTGAATAGGTTTGGGGTGCACGGGGTGGGACACCCGATTCCCTCTAGGACGTTGAGAGCCATAAAGCCGTACAGCTGGAAACAAATCTGGGGAGCGCATATATGATCAATGAAGCACCTACATTTGAAAAGCCGCTCTACTAATTTCCTTCTATGGAAAATAATCTACTTTTACTTCCTGAATAAGTGGTTGAAAAATTTGTAAGCTTAACCATTTAAAATGAATCCTGTTCATCCTTAATACCACAACAGAAAATCTTAATATTTCATTGTGTATAAATTATTTAATGACTAGAACTACCTGCTTTCTAAGGGTTGCATAACTCTTAAAACTCAGTGTAAAAAAACAATAACAAAAACAACTCCAAACAAAACCTCCACATGTTGAGCATTGATATCTGTCCTGGCAGGTAGTTCTCTCAGACCCCGGGATCACCATGTTTGAAGTTGAGACCCCAACTTGAAAAGTTTTGTAATGAACTCTTCTATATTCTCCAGTTTTGTTCAGCATCTTCTTTTTAGCTTATTCTCTCCCTTTTCTTTCCTCCGCTGAATGGTTATGTCTGTGAATTCCACAGTCTTTGAAACCGGTGACATCCAATCCTGATGCTTTGAGTTACCAAGCGAGTCTGCTTCTGTGTTTAGGACTTGCAAATTAAGAGCCACTTGGAGACAGCTTTCCTAATCCCAGCTTTATCATATATTTAGTTACAAGAAAGAGAGATGGTTTTCCCAGATTAGTTTGCTTATAAGAAAAAGCTGTCACAGTAAGAGTAAATAAATGCATGAAGCGGCACAGGTTTGTGTTAAATGTTTAAAAAATTATTGGTAATTTTTACTTATTGTTGGACTTGGCACATCCGTTGGGGAAGGAGAAATGGAAAAGAGAACAAAGTTCTTTTTGCTGGAGCGTAATGTACAATACTCTCTATTCCTTTAAGCCTGTCTTCTGCTCCTGTAAGCTAAGGTTTATCAGCTTTGTGTTTGAACAAACAGATGGCCTAATTTGACATTTTTGGGGTAACCAAGCTCTGAGAATAAACTCCACTTCCTCAGTCTCTGTGAACTTTCCAACCTCAAGCATGGATCTTGCAAACAAGGTTTTAATGACTGTAAATTATGCATTTCTACAACAGCCCTCTGGGTAGGGGTTCTGTGTTGGAATGTGGTCAGGTGAAAGAATAGGAGCTTGTTTGATAGTGACTTCTTAAAAGATCTGAAATCAAATAATTTTAAAGAACACCTGTGTGAATTGTTTTCCGGTCACGTTGTAAATGATTTGATTTAGAACCAGACACACCTGACTTTTCTACAGTTTCCCCCGTAAGCTGAATGCTTGAGGTGGCACCAGTTCACTTACAGGGTTGTTGGTTTATTTATTTTTAAATGTTATTTAAATTCAACTAATTAACACTTAGTGTATTATATGTTTCAGAGGTAGAGTTCAGTGATTCATCAGTTGAATGAAGTGTGTGGATGGAGAGACTGTACTTATCCAGGCTGTTTCTTTTCCTTTCTTTTTTGTCTTCCTGATTTTTGTGTTCTGTGAGAGTAATTGAAATAATAACACACGAGGGAGAGCTTTATAGTTCACAAAGTACTTTTATACTCTACAATAAGCTTATCCCAGATGTGTTTATTTACTAACTTCATGTTGATCAACTCTAGATGAACAATTCCAATCCTCTGTACCCTTTTGGAGTTGTCTGATTTTACTAAAACTCCAGCAACCACTTCCCCTGAGCAAAGTGCTACCTAGGTTTTTAAAATCAAAGTAAAAATTAAAAAAAAAAATTATCTTAAGATGCTTTTGATACTTTGATCAGCAGCACTACTGGGATACATCAGCAAACTTTCCTGTATTAGATAAGAATTCACTAAGAGATCTTTGACGCTTACTTACATATCAAACCACCTTAAGGTTTTTAAATAGTATTTCTGACTTCACAGGTTATACTTGAGTACTTTATATTTTTTACTGTCAGTGTTTTCCCCCAGAACAATCCTGACTGACCACCAGTGCACACGCTGCGGTGGGCATGCCCTGCCAGACACCCGTTATGCTAAATTAAACACCCCCACTAGGACCCTGATAACTCAAGTTGGCATCCCTGAATTTCTCTGCGATCTGAAGAGTCTACGGTGACTGACTTGCCGAGTTCTCGGAGGCAGTGAAGCCTATAGGATTTTCTCAAAGGTCAGGCCCGGGATTCCTGCTGCCCTTTGGAAACTGCCCTGCTAAATCTGCTTTGGGTTAAATCCTCTTTTTGAAGTAAGCAGTCATAATTAGATCTACTTATGGGGACTGGCAGTTTGCTGACCCCGAGGCTTTCTTTCCCGTGGCCAAGTCACCCAGGAGCCCCTCCCCACAAAGTCCGCGTCCCTCGGGCCTCCGCCAGGGCTCCGGGAGCCGCAGCACCTGCCGGGGACGTGGGGCTGCACCTAATAGGCAACCAGCATTTCCGAGCACGCGTGGGAGTTCTCCTGTAGACTATTCCAAGTCCTTGTTTCCTTCTTTGTTTTGCCCTCCCTTCCCCTTCTCCAGAAAAGTCCCTTTTGGCGGGGAGGAGAAGCCAGGAACTTTAAAACATTTCCCTTTGTTTCTACTGCGAGCATAAGTAAAGGAGGGAAGAAAGGGAGACTAGAGATAAGCCGAGTGGTTTGCTTCATATGATCTTACTCAGCTTCTCCCACTGACAGTGCAACTCTGGGGGCGGTTTCCACCCCAGACAGCTTTTCATTTGGTGGTGGTGGGGTGATGGGAGGGGTGCCGAGCTAAGGGGACTTTCCCCACGGGGTAGCATCTTGGCTTGATTCTCTGTAATTATCCTGCTGGAGTTTTTCATTTCCTGCGGAAAAATGGTTAGAGATAACAAAAGGGACCCAGGTATGCAGGATCAGTAGCAGGTGTTGATAGGCAATCCAAATTGAGATATTTGATGAGCAATCCAAATTGAGATATTTGATGAGACCAGGAATCCGAGGCTCGGAGCCCAGCAAAGGACTTATGAGATCAGCCCCTTTAAGTCCTTCATTCTATGGGTGGAGAAATTGAGGCCCAGAAAAATTAATCTAGCTCAACTCAGATCACAGTACACAGTGGTCTGGCACTTTTGTGCAAATGAGTCCCTTGCGCAAAATGGCTTGTTTTTTTGTTTCCTCTGTGTGTGGGCTCCCCACCTCCAGGCTCTTATGGCCAAACTATGACATAAACTCTTAAAAGGCAGAATGATGGTTATTGGGAGGATATAAACAGAGATATTCAAATGAGGGGTGTCTCTAGACTGTCAAGACAGGAGAAGCTTTGAGATAGCATCTATTGGAAGAAGCAGCCTGGGGACTTGTTTGGAGCTCAATTTGAATAGCATACACAGTGCTCTACTTTGGTTGGATTCTGTTTGGGGTAGTTATGATGGGAGGCTGATGATGGTTATGAGGGGGCTAAATAAAGCCCCCCTCCAAGCTGCCTCCTTGTTATTGCCACTGACCTAGACCCTGCTAATGTAAAAATAATAGAAGCAGAAATTATTTTTAACTTTTCAGGAGTTGTTAAATTCATCTTATATAAAAATTCTGCTAATTATTAACCTAAAATGGGCAATATATTGTTCTGGGCTTCCTTTATTCTAAGTCAGCAAACTGTGATCATAATTTATTGCCATCATTTACTGCATATTTATTTTTACAAAGTCATATTCCCAAATTACAAAGAGGAAAATAGCATGAAAAAAATGTATTGCTTAACTAACATTGTTAATAATAAAGATGAAAATATACTTCATTGCATTAGTTAAGACTGGGTAAAGAAAGCTCCTTTTCTAAATGCTATATTGTTTGTTCCATATTTTAAGTCAGCTTGACCTTTAAAGGCTTAATTCTGAGCACATGAGATCACCTTCAGCGTTTATACTTTATTCTCTGTCTGAACTGCAAGACTTGTGATTTTAATCTTAAGCTTCACTAGGGCTGCTTCAAGAATGTCAAAATAGAGAGAACACAGTTACATCAAAAGTGGTCTGAAACTTAAAGAAATATTTGAGGGGTGTGTGTGTGTGTGTGTGTGTGTAAATGACGTGTGGGAATACTGTCTAAATCTATAACTGTAGATATAGATTTTAAAGCTTTTGGCTTCTATAGGCTCAGCCGTGACTACATAAATAATTACATCATCATATAATATTGCAGCAAGCTTTCCAAGCATAAGTTCATTTTTTTTAAAATACAAATCAGCATCTCAAGAGAAATCTCTTAACTTACGAAGCAGAGAATGCAGGAGCAGGGGCTTGAATGGAAGGGAAGTTTTCGAGCCCTATTTTGGTCAACGTGAAGGGGAATGGCTTTGCCCAGTGGCTGGTGGGACAGGCTGCACTACTACACTCTCCTGTGCTGGGAAATGACCGGTCAGAGCAAGTCTTCAAAAAGTTTCTCTAGTCGCCTGGAATCCTGGGAAATAATCCTAGCCCACTTTATAGAAAAAAATTCACACGTCGTTCTCTGGCATCATACCCGTTAAGTCTTTTTTTTTTTAGAGTCAGATGCCTTATCTTTAAAATATGGCAGTAAAATAGACTTTTCTCACTGGTAGCTTGGAGAGTCATAATAAAGCACTTTGTAGGAAAAGATTGCAAAGGTGGCAATGGTGTGTAAAAAGATCAAGTCTTATCAAGCAGAAAGTAATCAATTGATGGAACATATTAGCAAAAAACTGAGCCTCCTTCTCTGTGCTTAGCACTCTGCTAGATGCTATCGGATAGCAGAGTTAGCTTTTATTGACTTCCCTGATATGCTGGACAAATATACATCCTGTTT